CGGCGGCCCCGGCCGCAGGAGCGACGCACGGGGGAGCCCCCCCACCACGACAAGGTGGCATCCCACGGGGGGGTACAAATTGAAACTTTGGCTAACTATACGAAATAGCAGCAATTCGAGCTACACGATAGCCTTCCCTCAGAAAATTGGAGCGATAACGACGTCGAGTGCGAAAAGACAAACAGCGGGAATTTTTCATTTTAATTTAAAAATCAGAAACACGATATAATTCACAAAATTGAAACGTGGAGGAAAAATATCGTGACAGAAAAGACGAGTCAAAGCGAGGACGAACAAGCGACAGACAAGGAGAAAAAGATCTTCCAGAATTCGACCCGACGCTTGATAGAGATAAAGCTAACACTAGCCTTTCGCAAACGTCAAGTTTTGAGAACTCTATACCGTACGCACTGTCAAAAGAGGTAAATTCTGAATTTACGCAAATATTTCCTCTCACGCTTTCCGTCGACGAGAAATGAATTCGTTGGAAGTTTTAAACGCATTACATCATCTTAGTGTTAGACATGCAGAGGTCTATCCTGCCGACTGCCGAGGGTGTGGACGAGGTCGACTGCCATTGTCGCTAACACAGACGATCATGATCGACCTGGACAGCACTGGGTCGCCTTCTACATCGACGAACACGGTACAGGAACGTATTTCGATAGCTACGGATTGCCGCCCTTGGACTCGAGTTCCTCTTACGCCTTAGCTGAAACTCCACCACGTATCGCTGGAACACGACGACGCTACAAGGAACTTTTTCTCAAACTTGTGGGCAATACTGTTGTGTATTTCTATACTTTATGTGTAATGGTTATAATCTTAGCCAGTTTCTTAGTCTGTTTACCACTGATTGTAAACACAACGACCGATTGATCAGTTATTTCATAAATTTCTTCTTCATTGTAAACATAAATTCATAAATTCTCATACTGTATGCCGTCATGTTCAATCGTGTACTCTTTCAAAAAAAGTAAAATAACTATATCATGTAATACCTTTTTTTTTTTAAATAAACTTTTTATAAAATAAAATTTTTGTCTTGTAAATTTCGTCTGTTCCTTACTCTTAACCTCGTCCCCATTTATGGTTTAGATAATGTAGATTAAATACACGAAAAAATATAAAAGAATTTTTTGTTTAACGTATAATAATATCCGAATCATCACATCGAAGCCGTCACGTCAGGTGATCATGTTCGTTCCTGTTTTACCTCCCCTTTCCTCCAAGCAAAAGAGACTCCTAGACTCGAAAATTTTCGTAAAAGATCCTATAAATAATAAACGTCGTTACGGCGCAGACAAAGAGCTACGGCAGCAAAAAAATGACCTACAGAATAAAGAACTGCGTGATATTCATGTCCGTACCTTTCTCCCTCTCCCTCCTGGTAAAAAAAAATGTCTCGTGATCTATTTTCCTAGGCTTCCCATTCTCCATTTTCACTCTCACTCTCTCTCTCTCTCTCTCTCTCAACGCGATCTCTCCCTCACCATTCGTAGCGTGAGAAGGTATAGCGAGCCAATCCAATCTTTGGCAACTATAGAGCGAACCAATCAGAACGCACCATTTAATTACCCTATTACATCCATCCTTCATCCACCGACCAATCAGAACCCCTCATTGTTCCAGACGGACCGGTCTAGGCCACGCCCATGACGTCTGGGAGGCGTGGAAAGGATTCGTTTTGATAGCTCGGCGGGGGGAAGAGGGAGTTTGTTTTGACGCCTGGGTGGGGTGGAGGGAGTTTGTTTTGACACGCAATACCTTCCCACTTATTACTCGCATGTAAGTAACTTCGTTAAGATTGGAATTCAGATAAGCAGTGTTTACATCGAATTGGATCGATTTTAGATTTTCTTTCACTGCGATTGCTAACCAGATGCGCACTGATTCATATCTAACGACGGGAGAAAAGATTTCGCCGTAATCTACGCCAGCTTGCTGCGAGAAGCCCTGAGCACACAAGCGAGCCTTGTAGCATATTGGATTTTCGCTAGATGAATCTTTGATTTTTAAAACCCACTTGTGACCTATTGGTTTGTGATCTTTAGGGAGCGAGACGATTTCCCATATTTGATTATTTTCATGAGTTTCGAGCTCTTCCTTTATCGCGTTTTTCCATAAAGCGGATTCTTTACAACTAGTGGCCTCTTTATATGTGGTCGGCGAGTCATATGATGCAACGTAGGCTGCATAAGTCATGTAGTATTCGGGGGAATGTACATTTTTACACGTTTATAGTTGTTTCGAGAGTGTTTGGTTCGTACGTCGGATTTTTCGCGTCACTATCGATGGAAATCCAGATTCTCTTTTGTTTTATATCATCGGTTTCATTCTCGTTGAAAGGTGACGTTTCTCGAGATCGTAATGCGTTTAGTTCGCGTGTCTAGTAGTCTATAGTTTCCGGAATCTTTTTCGTAACCGACAAAAAGCTTTTTTTGTGATTTAAGGTCCCATTTTTTACGTAAGACATTTGGGACGTGTGCGTATGCGTTACAACCGAACATTTTAATATGTGATAAATCGGGTTTCTTTTTTAAGTAGATTTCGATCGTTTGCCGCTAGATGTTTTGCCGCTTGAGTGCGTGGATACAGTTCTATTTAATATATGGACTGCCGTATTGACGGCTTCACCCCAGAGATTTTTGGATAGATTTTGTGCTAAGAGCATAGAACGCGCACTGTCCACGATCGTTCGCATTTCGCGTTCCGCGCGTCCGTTTTATTCCGGCGTGTGAGGTGCGAATGTAAGTAACTTTATGCCTCGTTCTTTTAGTAAACTGCAAACGTTTGAATTAATAAATTCCGTACCGTTGTCGTCTCTTAAAATCTTTATATTTTTACCGAATTGATTCACTGTTAAGTTGAGGAATTCCTTTAGATAATCAAATACATCATTTTTGTGTTTTAGAAAATAGACCGTTTTAAATCCCGAACACTCGTCTTTGAGGAGCAAGAAGAATTTTGCTCCGCCGATTGATGGCGTTTGCATTGGGCCACACACGTTGGCGTGAACGATTTCGCCGGGCGCAACATCACTTTTGTGCGTAGTTGAAAACGGCAGTCTCGCTTGCTTACTCAATGGGCAATCCTCGCAGAAAAAGCTTTTTTTATTTGATAAGTTTATTCCGGTGGCAGAGCCGCTTGTTATCATCTTTATGAGATAGTTACAATTTATGTGACCAAGACGTTTATGTCACGTTTCTAGAAGTGCTGAGGACGCGTAAAGTACCGATGTTTTTGATTTCGGTTTAATTAGAAGGCGTATTAGATTATTTTCCTGCTTAACGCCGCGTGCTACGAGGGGCACTACTTATATTTTGAGCCTTGGCAACACTGAGTGTTGTCAGGTGCCATCTGACGTTTCCACTAGAAAGTTTGATATTTTTGATCATAACCTTCTTCAGAACGTTTTGTTATTTGAACGCGATTTGTATTGTTTACAGTCACTTGAAAATTGTGTCTCAGCGAAAAAATGGAATTAACTCGTGAAAATTTTCGTGCAATGATTTATTACGACTTTCGACGTGGATTATCAAGACAGGAGTGCATCGATCAACTTACTTCCACTTTTGGCGATAAAGCCCCACGTCCTTTGCCACTGTGAAACGCTGGTATAACGAATTTAATCGTGGTCGCCGTTCGCTCACCGACGAAAGTCGTGAAGGTCGTCCAAAATCAGTTGTTGTGTCAGAAAACATTGATGCTGTGCAAAAACTAATAATGCAAGATCGTCATGTGACATACTGTGAGATTGAGACAACCTTAGGCATTAGTTCCACCAGCATATATAAAATATTGCATGATCATTTAGCCGTGAAAAAGGTTTGTTCTCGTTGGATCCCACATAATCTGACAAAATCTCAAAAAGATGCTCGTGTCGATTGGTGCAAACAAATGCTTAAGAAATACAATGGCGGTGCTTCAAAAGACGTGTATAAGATTGTAACAGGTGACGAATCATGGATCTATGCGTATAAGCCGGAAACTAAACAGCAGTCGACTGTATGGGTGTTTCAAGATGAACCAAATTCAACAAAAGTTGTTCGCGCTCGAAGCACTTCGAAACAAATGGTCGCCTGTTTTTTCGAAAAAACTGATCATGTGGCAACAGTGTCTTTAGAGGAACCTAGAACGGTCAATTCTGAATGGTACACAACCATTTGTTTGCCGGAAGTCTTCGGTGAAATAAGGAAAACAAACAAGCGCCGCCGGATCATTCTTCATCAAGACAATGCCAGTTGTCACACATCTCGTCTAACAACCGACTATTTGAGCACTCAAAAAATCGAATTAATGGGTCATCCGCCGTACAGTCCTGATTTGGCACCAAATGACTTCTTTTTGTTCCCGAACGTCAAGAATAAATTGCGTGGACAACGATTTTCGTCGGCAGAAGAAGCCGTTGATGCATTCAAAAACCATGTTTTGGAGGTGTCTCAAGCGGAATGGAAAAAATGCTTTGACAAGTGGTTCGAACGCATGCAAAAGTGTATAGATCATAAAGGAGAATATTTTGAAAAACAATAAAGTCATTTTCAATGACAAATTACTGTTTTTTTATTATTAGGCTCAAAATATAAATAGTGCCCCTCGTACAATCCGCGTGATTATCCTTTAAGACGATTGATAAATCGATTGACATGCATACGCCAGTCGAGAAGAGGTTCTTTTCTAAGTACGGAATATATAAAATTGATTTCACCATCGTGCCATTGATTATTTATCAATCGAGAAATGAATATTTTTCCGCGGCCATCCACTTTTAAATTAGTGTTGTCACCGAGACAAACATGTTCGTTATTATACGGCGTGAATTCGGTAAACCATTCCCTTCGACAACAGAGGTGCCTCGAAGCGCCACTATCGAGAAGCCCAATGTGTTTTTCGTCAAGTTTGAGGAAAGCGGCCAGATTCGGATCGGCTGTATGAGAGGGATTTTCGGTATTCGAGCCATTCGTGGCTTGACAAGCAATGAACGCGGCGAAATTAGCTGAATCGTCGCATTTAGACCCGTTCGTTTTATTATTGTCTCGCGTTTTTAATGCCTTCTTTTTAGCGAAGCAATATTTGGCAAGGTGACCGGTTTTACTACAGAAACAGCACACGATCTTCTTTTTATGCGGTTCTTCACCGTTGCGGCGATGATGGCGGCCTCGTTTACCTTCTGTGGAGATGGTGGTTGCAGCCAGGGCGCTGCTTATTTCATCTGTGGATGTCATCCAGGCTTCCTCTCGAATCAGTCTTTCTCGTAGCAAAAGGAGTGTCTGTTCCGCTGCACTGACGCTGTCCCAGGCCGAGATGAACGCGTTGTACTTCGAAGGGAGGGTCCCAAGTATTTTTGCCATGATCATGACATCCGATATCTTTTCGTCGATATCCTTAACTGATTCGCCATGTTTTCGATTTTGGCGATATGTTGTGTGACAGAGTCGCCGGTTGCCATGTGATATTCATGGAATTTTGTTGTGAGCGATAACCTATTGGTCGCGCTCTTCTGCTCGTGGATAGCAGAAAGTTTCGTCCACATCTCGGCTGCTGTTGAGCAGGTAATGAGGTATTCCAATTGAGAATATTCCATGGATGATGATAGGATGAGCATGGCTTTTGCATTTCTTTTTATCCAATCGTTGCAAAGGTTACTGGCTGCTTCTGATTTGACTTTTTCGCCTTGAACTATGTTTAGAAGATCATGTACGACGAAAATTGTTCTCATTTGGAACTTCCACAGTTGAAAGTTCTGCCCATTGAACTTTGTGATATTCCTAAGATCCGTAGATTCGCTCTTGAAGATGGTCGCAGTCGTATTTTGTAGACAAAAAAGACCAATGGCGCGAGCAAAGACCGGGCGAGTCGGCTCGCATTAATAGAGACGAGAAGAAAAAGAAATCACTTTCGTTTGCACGCGGTTACATTATACGTGCCTTGGGCCCATAACCTGTTGGGTGCAGGATAAACACGAGCACGACGAACTTGAGATGAAAAGAAAAAGAAAGAATAATATATTTCTGTGAAAAGAATACAGCGTACAGAAAAGAGGCGCGCACACAAAAAGATAATTGAAAAAGAAGTAAAAATAAGGCACTATATAGATGGGAGTATTCCTATCCGCCATTTTCGTGCCAAATCAGTGCCACTACAGCGAGTGTTACTACAGCGAGTGTTACAATGCTGATCAAAAGTCGCCGCATTTAATCCAAAAAGTATGTATTTTTTCATTTAAAAAAAAAGACATTCACACAAACACGAAAATAATTAATTTCTGTGTCAGGATAGAAATTTGTTCTTTTTATCTGCAAATATTTATGTCTCAGAAAGATAACCCTCAAGACGTTATTTTCTTGTTGCAGAAATAAATCGTATAAGAGCATAAGTATTCGCATTTAAAAAATGCCTGGCTGTGCCGCAGTTAATTGCAATAATCGGATTCACAAAGGCTATAGGCTCTTCTCGTTCCCGAAGGGTAAACATGGGACAAAATGGGTTGACAATATGCGACGAGATAAGTGGACACCGACCACCTCTTCGCGATTGTGTGAGGTAAGTATCAAAAAATAAGGATATAATTTTTTTATCATATCACACAATGACCTAATACTCAACGCTAATAATATTTTTTTGTTTGTTTCAAGGTACATTTTGAAGATTCCCAATTCAAAGCCTACCGCATTGATGACTGGATTGTCAAGGTCACGACCCTGAGTGACCATCGGACACTTTCAGCAGACGGGGGTGAGAGAAGACGAAAGAAGGTGAGAGAGGACGAAAGAGAGTGAGATAGGACGGAAAATAGATGGTTGGTGTGGATGGGGGTGGGGGTGGGTAGGAGGAGGAGAGGGGAGAGGTGCGACGGGTCAAAGTTGGTGGAGGTGTGAGTGAAAGGTGAGAGAGAACGTTAAAATAATTAATATAACGAAAGAGAGTGAAATACGTCGAAAAAGCGGGTGGTGGGGACGGAGAGTTGGGGAGGGGGTGGAGAGGGGGAGGGGGAATATGTCCAGAACAGCTTGACCGATTTTAATTTTTTTTAGCTCAAATTACTAGTGGCAAGGCGGCCTTCCAGGATATATTACGTGCGTTTCAAAATTTTTTATATTTTAGTAGTTATACATCCCCGAAAACTGCACTTTGGTGACTGGGGATAAGAGACTTGTAATGTCTTTCATTTCATTTTCATTAATCTTGGAGTAGTTTTTTTTTAACATGACCGGAGACACTATCGCGTCTCCTGATAGTATTACGGTTTGAAAAATTACCAATTCTTGAAGCACCGATCGGTCAAAACTACCGACTATTGCTACTTGAGCAGGCGTTGCGTTTTCATCACGATTCTGAAAGGAGCGAAAAATATTAATCTTGACAGTGATAGTTAAAAAAATGTGGTTAATTTTTGTCGAGAGGAACCTTGTACAGTGATTTTCGTCTAGGTGGGTTGATTCGTGGCGGAGGGTTGGGCATATCGAAAAGCGTTGGAACTGCATTCGGTTTAAGTTTTATCCAACCATTAATGCGGTGGGCTTCGAATTAGGAATCTTTAAAATGTACCTTACAAACAAAAACATATTATTAGCGTTGAGTATTAGGCCATTTCATAGTATACAGTAGCAACTCTCTGTCGGCACTTTTGATGTTGGTGAAGCCAAAATCGTAGCGCGCATGCGCAAGTTGAGACATTACATACGGTAACGCCATCTAGACTTCTCTCTCACTTACTCTCTTAGGCTGTCGCACCCACCTTCCGTAACCTTGGATCTACAATAGAGTTTTAAGCCTTAAACCATACGAAATGGACGAATCATAGTCGATTATTCTCCTCGAATTCGACTGCAATTGGTCAGTTTCTTACGACTTAGGCTTAAAACACCTTTTTTTTTTTCTTTGTAAGGCAGGGGAAATGCGTTATGCATACCCCGGGGGCACGGCCATGCCCCCGGGGCTATGTGGCACTCTCCCGTCCACACTAGGACGAGCCTACCCACTAAAACCCCTGCCGGTGTCCATCCTCAGGCCTAGGGAGGGGCGCCCCGGGTACGCGTGCAGCATTCTTCCGGGACGCCCCCAGGCCCATTCGGCCGAAGGCCCAAACCGATCTCTGGGACCCGGTGGGAGACGCATACCCTCCTCTCACCGGGTCCCCGCCCTGGTGTACGGGCGACTACTCTAATGGGCGAGGGAGGGACACCCACTCCCTCGCCCTGACCTCCCTAATTGGAGGGGGG